AAAAAAAAAAAAAAAAAAAGATTATTCCATATTTGGGGTTAGGTTTCATTGTTCATCTGGGGTGGTCTCTCCTACCTACGGTCACAGGTTATGGGCTATAGCCACAGGGAGAATCTGTAGCTATTTGCACAGCACTACCTAGGGCTTGGGCCTTGGTTTTCTTGAGTAACTGTGATGTGACTTACTATGGGCTACAGCATGACTACCACTGGAGTTACTTCTAGGTGTTTGGGATGTGCTGAACTGTGTTGTGATGGCACACAGCTCCATCTTAGTACTGACGCCCTGTCCTGAGCTGTCCAGTGGGGCCAAATCTGGGTGCTCCTTCCTCTGGTGTGGGTGGGCCCCCAGGTGGTGAACTGGGGTTTGCACAGCACAGGGACCACATGCAATCAAGAAGTCAACTGGGGTCCCCCAGCAAATGGAGTTCTGTTTGAGGGATCTTGATAGTGCTGAGGGACCAAAATGGCTTTTAGGGCTTCTCTCTTGCTGCCACTTTGCTGTTGTTGTCATCACATGTCACAGTAGATTCTAATTCCTCTGTTTACTGCTCCTGGCTAGAAACTCTAGGCCCTGGGAGGTGGAAACCATGACTGATGTCTGAGAAATTCCTGCCACTCCCAGGTGGCCACACGGTGGCAGTCGTGCAACGCTGGGTTGGGCGCTTGTCCTGTGAGTGACACTCTGGGCAGGGAGACTTTCCAGAGACCTGAGTGGTGATGTCAGTGCTTGCTGGATGGATAGAAGTCACAGCCTGGCCTGGGCCCCCACTGGCCATGTTGGGCGTGGGACGTGCCATTGTAAATTGCTGTTTTTCTGCATTGCATCTTTAAAATAACCTTGTTATTTTTGAGCAGTTTCAGATTTACAGGAAGTGGTGTGAGGTAGTACAGAGTCCCTGTATTTCCCTGGCTCCCTACCCATTTGTTAACACCTTCCTTCATGTGATGGTTGTGTTCACCTATTTCTTATCTTAGAGCCCATTTTTTGTCTTATTCGAGACATCTCCTGGGCCCTGGGGCTGTGACAGCCTTCAGGAGGCCTGGCCTAGGGTACAGGATGGCCCTTTGGGGGTTGTCTCTTATTTTCTCATGGTCAGTCCAGGCTGTGGGCTTGAGAGGAAGGTACAGTGCACAGAGCCCTCCCACACCCTCTGTTTGGCCGAGTGTAGTGTTTTCTAAGGGCTATGTCTGTTTTCTGGGGTTTCTTTGTTGCTGGCCACCAGTTACTTTCTCAGAAAGACCTCTAGGCACTCCCCTCCCATGAACCTCCTGCCTGAGCCCCAGTCCCTTAGAACCTTGCCTAGGCTTTTTCTCCTCCTAGGAACATCTGCCTGTCCTTATAGTAGCAGTTGGCACCACTGTGGCCAGGCCAGCAGGAACACAGGCCAGTATTGTAGGGATAATTGGGGTTGTCTCTGTGAGGTCAGGAGCTTCAGGTCATCTTTTGAGGCAGAGAAGTTCCAATGGGAGCCCACAGGGGTCCCAGAATGGCTGGATTCTAGCCACTGGCATGGAATTAGGAACATCTTCTGTTTCAGATTTCTGGGGATTTAAGCAAAATCCCATTTGTTAAAATTCAGGAATGATCAATGTGTATCTTTCTGTGATGCGTCTTCAGGTGTTTAAGTGTAAGCCAGGGCATGGAGGCTGTGCCCTCAAGGCATGCTTCAGGGCTGAGGGATCCCATTTGGAGGAGGGGCCAAGGAGAGCAGGAAGCCAACAGGTCAGCATGTGAAGGTGGGAGACCACATGGGGACCTGGCAGGGCCTGCATAGAACACTGGGTGCTCTGAGGAGGGAAGATGCCCACTCTGGGCTATAAGAGCCACTGTCCTGCAGGTGAAGGTTAGTCTGTAGTCTCTGGCCCAGGCTGATAGTTTTCAGGGATGGATGCCTCCTTTCTTGTTGCTCTGTCTTCCAGCCCAGCGCAGTCCAGTCAGGGTATCCTTGCTGACCAGTTCAGAGAGGTACTTCTCCCCAGGTGCCATCATTTAAGACCCAGTGGGGCTATGGCCGTGAGGTCCCTGCTGGAGAAAGTCCTGATTAGCAGAAGTGCTAATTAGCAAGCCTTCAGGTGCTGGTTGGGGCAGAATTTTGGAGCTGCATCTGTACACACGCGTTTCACAGGTTATAAACATGGCGGCTTGCAACCAGATTTTGTTGAAGAGTAGAATAGGTGTAGGATTCTGGGAAGCACTTGTGTGGTAGGTATGAGGTTGAGGTTGGTACCTGAGCTCTTTCCATCTGGCCCAGATCCTGTCCCTCTTCAGGGTTCCCTGGAAACCCACGTCCCTGTGCTGATCCAGGTGTGGCTGATCCTCTTAGCCAGAGCTGCCAGGGAAGGTGAATTTGAGAATTTTAACAAATGATAAGACTGGAGCTGGAGGGGTGTGGGTGCGTTGAGATGACAGTTTCTCCTCTGTGGAGGGCAGGATCTCTATGGATGTCTTGGAGACTGGCCAGGCCCAGCCCTTGAGAGCTTTCACCCCCGAGATGTAGTTCCTTCTCTTCTGATGCTGTGTTTAGCAGCCACTCCCAGGCTACCCCATCTCCTCCCACTGTTGGGAGAGTGTGGATTCTGTTCTCCATGGGACCTTGGGAGGGGCACCAAGGCCACTCACCCATCCACCCGACTTATTCCCAGCATCCTCAAACAGATGTCAGCGAGCTGTGTGCCATGGAGAAGAACAAACAAGAGATGTTAATTGAGTCCTTATCTGAGCCGGGAGGTGCTGGGGCTGCTGTTGGAGGCAGCTCTCTAAATAAAGGACAGGTGGCCACTGCAGGGGGAGGGGGCAGTTATCACCACCTGCATTATTTATGGCCAGCACCTGCTACCTGGGGTGAGACTGCTCAGCTGCAAGTGTCCTAGAGCCACAACCCCATGTGCCATGACACAGAGCATCTCTGACTCAACTCCTACCTCAGCCAATGTGGATGTTCAGCTTCACTTGGCCTGGGTGAGTGGCTACTGCCTGTGCTATGCAGAACTCCAGCATCCTGCAGGGTAACTCAGATATCACTGCACTTTCCCAGTGCTATGTTCTGTGTGCATTTCAGCAGGGGCAAGTGAATCTTGTGTTTTATACTTCAAATCTTTAACCTCTTTTCAAAAAAAAAAACCCCAAAACAAAAACTGGCCACTCTTGGATAAAGGACCTTTCTTATGAGAGTTATAGAGTTACAGAATTTCTATAGTTATAGACCTTTCTTATAGAGTTATAGAATTATAGAGTTATAGAATTACCCCACACCCAGTATTTGCAGCACTGCAGACTCTCCCTCACATGGTGGGCTTGCAGAGGCCCAGGGAGAGGACCAGTGACATAAGAGGGGATGCCCCACCCAGCTGCAGAGCAGTTACTCTCCCAGATGTCATTCTCTGAAGTCCTGAGCGCTTGTAATAGTTAGTACCTTCGGAAGATGTCACCGCCAACCTTGGCAATGCTTTTCCCTTTCAGCATCCGGGCTGATGGGCCTCACCGTGCACCGAGAGCCAACTGCAGGGAGCCAAGAGGGCGGGCCAACACAGCTGCAGATGAACCGGCCACTTCTCTCAGAGGGGGAAGCCCAGGAACTGGCCCAGGTAAGGTGTCCTCAGAGCCTTGGTAGCTGATCTGACATCCCCTGCCCTCCACAGGCTGCTCTCTTTCCCTCCTGACCAAAACATGGTTGGAACTAGCTACACCTAGAAGGTGTTGTGTTACCCACGTGCTGGAGCTGCAGGGGGGAGCATGGACAGTGCTCATTCTGAGTCCACATGCCTTGTGGCACACAGACAAATGTTCACACACATAGCTGCCCTGGCAACCACCTTCACCCATTTACCTGTGCTCCTGTATGTATCTTAGGTGTACTTTGTGTGTACTGGGCCTGTGCATACAGGCCTGTGTGTACATGCTGTGTGTGTAGTGTGCATGTGTGCTCAGCATGGGCATGCACACGTGTGTGTTGTGTGTGGTATGCACATGCACTGTATATGTACATGTGTGTACATTCCGCATGTATGCCTGCTGTGTGTGTGTGCGTTCTGCATGGGCACTGTATACTGTCAAGGTGAGCCATCTTCTCAGTCTCAGAGGCTTACCACTTTATGCCTACGAAGCTGAAATTTAATTGATGTAAAAATTCGGTTTGTTTGTTTGTTTGTTGAGACCGAGTCTCTGTCACCCTAGGTGGAGTGCCATAGTATCATCATAGTGCATAGCAACCTCAAGCTACTGGGTTCAAGTGATCCTCTTGCTTCTCAGGTAGCTGGGACCACAGGCGTGCACCATCATGCCTGACTAGTTTTTTTCTGTTTTTAGTAGAGTTGGGGTCTCACTCTTGCTCTTGAACTCCTGAGCTCAAGCAATCTACTTCCCTTGGCCTCACAGAGTGTAAGGATTATAAGTGAGCCACCATACCTCGCCCAATATAACAAGTTTTTCTTTCTGTATTATTGCTGGATAACATACTGCTTTCTCTTCAGATAATTTTTGGGGCTGTACTCATCATATTGTTTGATTTGTAGCTAGTTCACTATGTACCTTATAAGAACCATTAAAAAATAACCATAATGCCTTTTTTTTTCTTTGCAGTTTTTGGCCGGGGCTGGGTTTGAACTCACCACCTCTGGCATATGGGGCCAGCGCCCTACTCCTTTGAGCCACAGGCACTGCCCCATAATGCCTTCTTACCTTTAGAAATAAATAAAATAAAAATCAATTCCTTAATATTATCAGATATCAAGTCAGTGCTGGAATCAGCCTAGTTATCTTGCTCCAGCATGTGCTGTTTGTTGAAATCAAGGCCTGAAAGGTGTGCATCACACCAGCAAAGTGCCTCATCATGTACAGCTTCCCTCTGTCTTGTCTTTTTTTTGAGACAGAGTCTCACTGTGTCACCCTTGGTCGAGTGGTGTGGCATCACAGCTCACAGCAACCTCCAACTCTTGGGCTTAAGCGATTCTCTTGCCTCAGCCTCCCAAGTAGCTGGGACTACAGGAACCCTCCACAACGCCCAGCTTTTTTTTTGTTGTAGTTGTCATTGTTTAGCAGGCCCAGGCTGGGTTCAAACCCACCTCATCAGTATATGTGACTGGTGCCCTACCCATGGAGCTACAGGCACCGAGCCTGTCCTGTCTTTTTCACTGGCACTTTGTTGAAAAAGCAAAGTTGTTTGCTCTGCTGAGACTATGTGCTTTGGATCTTATGGTCTGTGTTCACAGTGGGGTGCCGGCCATCTATCTCTGAACCCTGTCAAGTCAGTAGGTAGGCCTAAGTCTATGTTAGGCTCAGCCCTGTTTTGGGATAGAGTGTCTTGTGGGCAGCTCTATCCACTTTCATTAGGAGGTTAATAAACATGGCATATCTCTTAACCTGCTTTTAAAAACTAATTCTTTGTGTCTGCGTAACCACGAACTCCTTTGAGCTCAGCTCTTTCCTTTTTTGGGAAAAAAGTGTTCATCTTTGCTATGGGATATTTTAAATAGGCATCACTTGTCACTTTTTCCTCCTGGTCTCACTTAGTCATTTTTAGCAGTGACACACAAAAGTGCTGCTTTTTAGCTGTCACTAGCACATTCTGCAGGTTGCTAGTCACTTTTTCTCATAGGCTCATTGACTCCTGAACTCATTCTGCATAGGGCTTGTTTGCTTGGGGTTTTTGAGAAGCCCAAATGCTATGAAGGCAAACCTGCTTACCTGGGTTTTCCCTGGCCATCTTGAGAGCCTCTGAGAGGGTGTGGGCCTGAGGCTAGTTGAATCTGAGCATGCCCCCTCCTCCACATAAAGGTGTCTGCCGCTGAGATGCTGTCCCTGTTTCTCACTGTTGTGTTTAGATTGACATGGGAATACCAGTTTTGAATGAAAAATGGGACTTTTTCGTGTTAGTTCAGATGGTAGCCATGTAATTTGAAAGGGCCCTCCAGTTTTCAGACATCCAGTCTCTGACACAATGTGCAGCAAGCCCTTTACCTCAAGGCCAGGGAGGAGTGGAGAGATGTCAGCATGAATGGACAAAGAGTAGAACAGGGCTCCCCAACAACCATTTGGGTTACTGTCTTTTCTTGTGACAGCACAGGTGTTGTCCTGAGGCATCCTGTGAGCTTGGTGGGGTTCAACACTGGGAGCAGTCAGGACCCTGACATCAAAATACATCAGTGTGGTGGGACGGGAAGGATCCATTGGGACACAGGGAGTGAGAGCAGTGCACTGGTTAGATGTGGGCCTCCTTCACAGCAACGACCTACTTTCACACGAGATTGTCTTTTTGAAGCAAAACACATGTTTCCTATTTAGAGAAGAATTCTTAGCTGTACAGTTGAAACCCAAACGTAATTCAGAATGAGTTAAATTTCTGGGGAAAACAAAAATGCAAGAAACCCTCCTCCATCCAGCTGTGGTTTTGTTGCAAATGCTATTAAAGCCATCACGCTGAAACGTGTCCTGGTGGTGTGGATTGCAGTTGGAGCTGCCAAGGCAGAGGATGGCTGGAGCCTGTGCGGGGCCAGGCAGGGGCCGGGTAGGGGCTGGCGTGGCAAGGCCTGGGGTCTGCGGTCCACCCCGGCTCCTGCGTCACTGTGGCTGTGGTGGGCGGGTGGCTGGGAAGACTGCGGGAGGTGGGTTTGGCAGAACCCCTCTGTTCACTTCTTCTGTCTGCTCCCTCCTCAGAACAGCCAGGCCATGGACTTGGAGCCTAGGACCCAATGGAACAAAAGATGACATTTGGCTGTTCCCTCAGGGCATTCCGGGCTCAAGGGAAACTTCTTCCTAATTCCCACTTCTCTGTCTTGCTCCACTTTGGTGTTTCTCCATCCTGTCTCCCTGTGTCTCCAGGGAGAAACCAGGTGAATACTACAGTCCAGCTGCTGTAGGGATGGTGTCTGCTCTATGGCCACCCTTTCTAGACGGAAAGGCACATGTGGCTTGTCCCAGCAGGTGCCAGTCACAAGGACTTTCTGATTCTGTCAGAGAAGCCAGTCTACTGCTATCTGTGAAATCTCCATTAACTTCAAACTCAAAACATTGAACACAAACACAAACATTAAAAGGAGAACTGGGTGATTCATTCACTTCAAAGTCAGTAAGTTCAGTGGGAAGCAGACTGGTGGATCAGTGTTGGGGGAGGCATCTGATCAGACCCACCATGGCCAGTAGGGCTCACATCAGGACGTGGCAGGGACTCGGCAGTTGGGCGCTGTCTGAGGCTCTCAAGGACCCGGGTATTCTGTCTTCACATCTGTGTCTATGGTAAAACCCCCATTGTGTGCTCAGCAGCACCATGGCCCACGTGGACCTGCTCTGGCAGTTAGCTGGAATGTCCCTGAAGTCATTCTGGAGTGCCCCGGTTGCTGTGAAACTATCTTAAGAAGTTAAGGTCTTTTTCCTTCTTTTTATGTTCTTTCTTTTATAGTTTGCAGTAGTCTTCTTCCCTGGTCCATTTCCCTCCCTCCCCGCAGTTCATCTATGTCCTTTTCTAGTCAGATAAGATAATCATGTTCAGCCAGGTACAGTGATACACTCCTATCATCCTAGCACTTTGGGAGGTTGAGGCAGTAGGATCACTTGAGCCCAGAGTTCAAGGTTAGTGAGCTATGATGACACCACTGCACTCTAGCCCAGGTGACAGAGACCCTGTCTCTAAAATAATAAATAAAAATTAAGTGATAATCATATGCTAGAAGTGTCTCTGAACCTGAAACAACTGCCTTGGCTTCCCTGAGCTCACTGTCCATGTGAGGGGTGACGGTTCCCTGCATCTTGGGTACCTGCAGGTCCCAAGTCACAGAAGGAGCTACCTGCCCCGGGACACTGTTCTCAGTCCTGCGTGCACCCAACATGCACGCTGCTCATCCGTAAGTTGGAGAGTGGGTGGTAGCAGAAGAAATGGCTAGGCAGAATTCATGGGGCAGAGGGCACAATGGGGCAGGTTCTGCAGGAGTAAGCTGAACCAGTGCAACCAGCAACTGCCAGCCAGGCAGAAAAGTTTGGGTCATATCCTATAAGTGGTTTGGAATCATTGGAGATCATGGGCAAGAAGAACTGGGATAATTCCAGGATTATTTTTCTTTTTCACTAAGGTTCTCTTACTGTCCTGAGCTTTCCTCTGGAGCTTTTCCAGGCTGTTGAGTTCAGTCAGTATTATGGGCCACAGTTGGAGGTTGCCTTTGGGGGTTACTGAGGTTTTGTGATGCTGCTTTTATTAATGGCTTTGATATGATAGTAGCATTGAGCTGACCCATACATCCCATCCCAAGGTCTCTTACTTTAGTTTTGTATAGTCATTTATCAGTGCTCTCAACACTGTATCCTGCATCTTTTCTGTTTGTTTATTTACTTAATTTTTTGAGACAAAATCTCAATTGTTGCCCTTGGTAGAGTGCCATGGCATTATCATAGTTCACAGCAACCTCAAACTCTCAGACTCAAGCAATCCTCTTGCCTCAGCCTCCCGAGTAGAGTGGATTGCTTGAGCTCAGGAGTTCGAGACCAGCCTGAGCAAGAGCAAGACCCTATCTCTACTAAAAATAGAAAAACTTGTGTCTTTTCTAAATGCTAATCTACAGAAAAGAGGACAAGGTACCTATGCAGCTTCTGCTACCCA